TGTTACATTGGGAGGAAAACACGTGACGATACTTTTTTTGCAAAGGTCAATGTTGAATCTTTAAATTGAAATTTATATTTTTTAAATTTTTCAAAACGCTGTCCACATAGTGAAAAGTCGTAGGACACTTTTATTTTTAATATCCAGCACTTATCGTGAATCGTGCTATATTTATTTTATAATAATGCAATAATACGACATATGATAATGTAACAATATGTTAATATCGAAGAATTTCAAATGTAAAAGTAGAATAATAATAGAAATCCTTTATTAAGATATTTACAATTATCTTAATTAAATAATGGACGAAGAAACGTGTAATTATTTGGAAAATAAGAAATGTGTAGATTGTGGCAGTTGTTACTATTAACAAAATATCACGTTGGCTTAAAATTGCTGTTAAAAATCATCCCGTAAAATTTCACACGTTGCAACTCGATATAAATCGCCAGTAAAAAGAAGAGAAAAAAGGGAGAGCCAGATATTTAATATTTCGGAGATGTGAAGAAATAATGTGTCTTTATTCTACCTCTACAGAATATATCACAACCTTTATTTCAAAGGAGCTTTAAAAATGATCGTCACTGTGATCGCGGATTATGAAAATTCAGGCAATACTTTCCCAGATGTATTATCACCATAATTTAACGCACATTTGCTTATCTCCGTGGCCCCTAATGCCGTTCGAACTGCAGACACTCATAGCCACCCCATAACGCATACACAAGGCATAATCCAAAGGTAGACAACTACACTCGCTGCAGAGGCACGCTCTCCAAGGAGCAATAGTCGCGAAAGACGAAGATACAGGGAGAAAGATAAAAGCAAGAATGATAGATAGACTGATGCTATCTCGGATATTCGAATCCTCCGGGAAATTTCTCGAAAAAAAAACAACGAAACGGTGGATCGCCGATCTAATCCGATTTTCAAACATCGTGCAACCAAAAATCCATCGAAACCAAAGGATCGAAGATTTGAGCAACAAAAGCACGCAAAAAATTTAGGCTTCGAATAGATCCTAATTCCCCCTCCCCCCAGAAAAAGGAAAGGGGAAGAAATAATTCGTGTAAAATTATCGAAACGTGCCTGTACATTGTAATTCATAGAAATTAAGATCACTCAGAGTTTCGTGTCCTTGAATTTTAAAAGTCCAAATGAAATTTAATTTATGTACATTAATAGTTAACAATTTTATTCAATTAATAATCTTCTACACGTACTTACTAATAATTTATATTACTATATTATTATATGTAATAATATATATTTCAATTTTATATATTTTATATATTTATATATTACTATATGTAATAATATATATTTCAATTTTATATATTTATGTATTACTATATAAAATGATACATAATTCAATTTTATATATTTATATATTACTATATGTAATAATATATATTTCAATTTTATATATTTTATATATTTATGCATTACTATATATAATAATATATATTTCAATTTTATATATTTTATATATTTATATATTACTATATATAATAATATATATTTCAATTTTATATATTTATATATTACTATATATAACAATATATATTTCAATTTTATATATTTTATATATTATATTTTACAGTGTTTTTTAAAGTAAAATACACAAATTACAGTGTTCCTTAATCAAAATAGAGGATGGCACAAACTTGTTAATTACTAAGAAATTAACTAATAACAGAATGATTACGAAGATCAGTCAAGATCGCACCACTGCGTTTAAAATATTTAATAATTGATTATTGTTCAACTCGGCCGGAATTGGTATCAAATTGCTACAGAACCAACAGAAGAAAAAAAAGAAAAAAAGAAAAAAGAACAGTGGAACTGAGCTGTGTGAATCCCGAAACGAAAAGATTCGAGCGGTATCTAAGGAAATTTACGAGTCATAAATTGCCGAAGTAAAAATGGCCACCGATGGCGCGATACGCCCCCGTAAAAGTCGTAGCTACGGCTTTGATGCAATGAACGAGGAGGCGAAGCCGACACGAATAGCGGAACCGTCGCATCACAACCGACGTTTCTCCGAGCGGTGACGTAACCGTGTATGTCTCGCGTCGCGAGATGGCCTGAAAACGCATCGTCCAATGGCCACCGTGTCCCCTTTGCCCCCAAACGCGATTTATCTTTATCGTGACCGAAGATTCGAACCGGAGCGGAGTTTGCTCGAACGTTCCATTCGTTCTACCACGAGAGTTCCTCTCGAGTGCTCTCTCCGCTGCTTATTGTTTGATTTCTCGTCCGAAAGATCTCCGAGTGTTGGAGAATTCGCTCTGGCAGAGGGGGAGGGGGGGGGGGGTGTGAATTTTGAGAGACAGCAGAAGTGAAAAAGTTGCGGAAACAGGGTTAGAGTGGAAAAGATTTGAAATTGAGTTTCAAGAGTACGAAGAAGAATCGAAAATGAAAACTGAAAGTACGTACATACGTGTTTAGAGGAAAGGATTGGAGGAAGAAAAGTAGGGAGGAGAGTCCAAGGTAGAAGTTTAGGTGATTTTGAAGAATTGAGGAATGACAGGGATTCGAGGTGGAATTTTAAGAATAGGGGAAAAGAATTCAAAGGCAGAGATTTGGAGGAAAATTTATATTTATATAAATATAAATATATATATTTTTCAAATATATTTATATCTATATATTTTAAATATATTTATATTTAGATCTATATATTTTAAATATATTTATATTTAGATCTATATATTTTAAATATATTTATATTTAGATCTATATATTTGAAATATATTTGTATTTATATCCATATATTTTAAATATATTTATATTTATATCCATATATTTTAAATATATTTATATTTAGATCTATATATTTTAAACATATTTATATTTATATCCATGTATTTTAAATATATTTATACTTATATCTATATATTTTGAATATATTTATATCTATATCTATATATTTTAAGCATATTTATATTTATATCTATATATTTTAAGCATATTTATATTTATATCCATATATTTTAAATACATTTATATTTATATTTATATATATAAATATAAATCTGATAATTTCATAATTATAAAATTGATATTTGGAATTCTTGATAGAAGATCGAAGAAAACCTCAAGGCCGAATTTTTCAAAACAGAAAGATAAATCGGAAATGGAAATTTGACGTAAAGTACGTACATCGTTCGTAAATTTGATTAAATCGACAAAAAGAAGAAACGAGTGCAGGAATTTGAAGAAAAATTGGAAATAGAAACGGGAATAAGAAATAGAAAATAGGAAAGATAGCCATTCAAAGGAAAATGCGTGTTCAGTGAGTCCGACGAACTGGAGGGAAACGACGGCAGCGATTCGAGGTAGAATTTTAGGAATAGAAAGAAGAATCCAAGGTAGAAATTCCGAAGAAAGTCTAGACATATTCAGTGAATTTGAGGAATCGAAGAAAGAGTTTCAAAGAGGCGAACAGCGGAACGAGGGGTTTCAAGGCTGAAACTTCTCAAACTGGGTGGAAAAGTCGAAAATGGAAATTCGGAGGATGGAAAGCACAGTGGACTCGTAGTTTTGCGAATTCGGGGGAATCGTGGAAAAAGATGCCAGCGATTCGAGGAGAAATTTTAGGGGAAATAGAAGGGGCGGAATTTAAACGGAGAAACTTGATGTTAGAGGAACGCGAGAAGCGCAGATACGAGATTGAATTTTGGGAGACGAAAGGCAGAATCCAGGAGAGAAGTTTGATAGATTCTATCAGTGTTGAAACGAAAGAAAGAAAAAAAAGAAAATGAAATTACAAATATTTCGAATTGAATTCAATTGATATCGGAGCAACTCGGATCTCGAAGAAGTTTGAAAGAAAAAAAAAAAAAGATAACAGTTTCGAGATAACAGTTCTGGGACATGGACGAAGTTGCCGCGTAAAAATCGAGCAACCAAATCGACGAAAATCGCGGTATCGAAAATTTCGAGGCACAACGGAAGCTCGAATCGAGGTTTCGAGATAAAGAAATCCAATATTCCGTGCCCCTTTCCCATACGGTGAGGGGGCGTACTCGGCCGCGTTTTATCCGGAGACTTTTAAAATTATTTCCTATCGTTGCGCGGGCCCGGCCAGTTGCGAAACTTTGATTTCAGTGCAAGTTAGGGGAGCCCGGGGAGCCGCCTAAACTCGCTAAACACGTTACCCGAAAACCAAACTTTTCCCGGAGTATCAGTTTCCTCCGGAAACGCAACTCCATCCGAACGTAGCATCTTCCTACGTTCCTGTGCGTTCGAGCTGCGCGTGTTGCATCCTCCGCCAATTTTATTTAAAAAAAAAAAAAAAGAAGTGACAAACCTTCTTCTTTTCCCGTTTTCTTCGCGAAGCAACTTAAGATTTCGATTGTGAAGTATGAGAAGTTTGGGCATTGTCCTTCTTCGCAGAGGAATAGATTCGAGAAATGGAGGCAAGAAAAAAACATTTTGAGAGAGAGAGAGAGAAAGAGAGAGAGAGAGAGAGAGAGAGAGAGAGTCATAAATTAGATTTTTCTCGGCAGTACATCGTGAGTCAGGGAAGACTTTGACAAATGATAAGAGAACGTAGGTACAGCTACGTACGATACAGTTCATTCGTAGAAATTTACACTGTTCGTAAAGTTTGGCCCTGCATCTTTGAATTTTCGAAGAAAAATGTGATTGAAAGTATATGTATTCTATGATAGAATATATATATATTATAATTTATATATATTATTTTATTATTATAACATATTTTTAATTTTAATATATATATATATTAAATATATATTTAATTTTAATAATTTATATATCAAATTATATGTAATTCATATAATTTAATATATATATTATTTTAATATTATAATATATTATTTTATTATTATAATATATTTAGGGAATATTTTTAATTTTAATAATTTATATATCAAATTATATATAATTCATACAACTTAATATATATATTATTTTATTATTATAATATATTTAGGGAATATTTCTATTTCAGAGAAAAATATGATTAAATATTGATTAAATCTTGAGCATTAATTGGGCCAAGCTGTGCGCAACACGGATCCCATAATTTTGTTATCTTTATTTTGCTAACTTTCATAGAGCAACTTTTACATCGTATAATTGTGAAAACTGTGCTCAAGCTGCAGTCACACTCTATTATAAAACAAAAACGAGAAATAAGATAGAAAAACAGAAAGTTCTTTTCCTTTCTCACCTGTCTCGTCGACTTCAAGTTTGGCCAACTGAATTTGTCTCTTTGGCGCCGAAATAAATGAATGAAGAATAAATAATCAAACTTGCCAATTATATCGTCAACTAAATTTCCGTTCGATCGCCTTGGACCACCTGTCCTCAGACATTCAATTTTATATCATCATCATGCACAGATTGTACGCGATGAGAGTTCAAAGCTAAATTAGATTTGTTCAATTTCACATCACTGAGGACTGTGCAACTATCTGCGCAATTCAGATTAATAAAGACTTTAAAATTGGAGACGATCGTTCGTGAGAAATGTCTTCATTATTAATGAAATGACTTCGGAGATAAGGACGATTGAAAAACACATGAGAAGTATGTCAGCTACGACACAGAACGTTGATTTATTAAAACAGTAATTAACGATTGATTAGCGACTTCGACGACGAGAAGAATTAAAAATAACGGGGATAATTATTTGCGGAAAGAACGAAATCGTAGAGGAAGGTAGGGAACAATAGAGTTTCTAGCAGAGTATGGGAAGTATTGCGAATTTTATATTCGCATTAACGATGGCGAGGCAAATCAGCTGTGACCTATAGGAAGTACGTTCGCGTACAGAACGCTCAAGAGGCTAACAGGGTTAAGAAGTCTCGTAAACGTGAACGACTCGAGCGTCGAATATTCACAATCGTCGCGCGGAAATTCCACTTTTCTTTCTCTGGTGCCGAGTTTCTAACTTCTCGGGGGAACAATCGTAATGCAAACGTCGAAGTGAATCGGGGCGAGAGAAGAAAAAAAGGAAAGAAGAAAAGAAAAAAATGGAGAAGAAGAACGAAACGTGAAAGTGCCGTGACAACTGCAAGTTGTTTTGTAAATACAGCGTTAGAGCGAAACGACGAGGAAAGACGACACAGTGAGTATAAAAATTCTGACTTTCGGCTATGAAAACGTTGCGGAGATAGTCGTTGATAAGATTGTGAAAATCTTCGTAATTTGGCCGGTAAAAAGAGAAAATTATGTTGCTCTTCACCTTATTTGTCACGTCGTGTGAATTGTTTTGTCTTCACTATCATTGTGAACAAATGAAGGCTTCTAAAAGTTAACGTTTCTGGTAAAACTATGAAATATTCGGTTTCAAAGTTTTGTTTCATTAACAAAATAGTAACACCTAAAGAATAATTTTCGAGTAAAATTTATTGTTGATAAAAATGAAATGACAACAAAATATATTAACTTAGGTCTAGATAGGAAATTGCGTAATAATAAAAATCCTCTATTTATCAGGTTTTCTTTTGACAAAAAGTATGCAAGAAAACTTTTTTATTTTATTATTATAAGAAGCTAAATACTGCAGCTACAAATTTGTAAATTCGTAAATATCTTAATAGTTGCGTAAATTCAATATTTTAATATACATTTGAACAATGTCTGATCATATTCATTAATTTTTCACACAATGACAGCATTCTTTTTATTTAACATTTTTTATTGCTCTTTCATTTATACAATCACGCTCCGTGCACACAGAAACACTTAATAATACTGAAACCAAAAAAAGAATGGTTGAAAAATATTCTTCTCGCATTTAATAAATAATTTAAACAATTAAAAAAATGTCCATTTTCCAATTAATTTACCGTTTTTTTTTTTTTTAATTAATCACTGCAACATAAAGTTTATAATTTATTGACATATAAGTCAAGATTCTAAAAATGCAATTTTTTTCAAGAAACACTCATATTGTTAAGAAAACCTTCAAATTCGCATTAATACAATGAGACGTGAACTAGGTTATTCCTCTAATTAAAATAAAATAATATCTAACATAAAATTAATTAAAATAAAATAATACCCAACATAAAATTAATAAAAAATAAAATAATACCTAACATAAAATTAATTTAAATAAAATAATATCTAACATAAAATTAACTTAAATAAAATAACATTTCATTTTTCCCTTTTCCTGAAAAACGTGCTCCTTTTTGCGCCACTTTCTCCGCAACAGTGCAAAAGACGGAGAATGCGAAACGTACGAGGGGTGGGGAGAAAAGCTGAGAAGTAAGAATGAAAGAAAAAGAAGGAGAGGAAAGTAGGTTCTTGAATCGTTAGTGGGTGTCAACGACACGAGCAACGAGAAGCGAGAGACGTTTCGAACGAGCTTAATGGGACGAACGCCTGGTCAAAAACTTCTCCTGATATAAGAATCTAATTATCGACCGAGCCGGCTGGGTATAAATTTCGCGCGCCAACTATTTCGCAAAGTTTCGAGCGACGCGACTCGCTTCGGGGGAAACTCGAAAAATTGGAGGATCCGGAGGGATGAGGGAGGCTCGGAGCTCCTCCGACGAACTGAATAAGAGAAGAATCGAAGAAGCCCGGCCCGATAACCAGAGGAATTGATTGGTAAACGAAGTGAGAAATCGAAGGATTAGGATATTCCGCGTATCGCGCCATCGTTCAATCGGGGTAATTGAAAGCATCGAATTATATATATACCGATGAACGATAACTTGAATGGTGATAAAATTGAAGAACTGAGAACTTGGGGTCAGAATGTTTCCACCAAAGGATGAAAGGAACTGACTCGCTCGAACGAACACGAAATTAAATACCCGAAATTGGAGAATCCAACATGATTAAGATTGCGAATACTCTTACTTGATTAAATTGGATTTAGAGGTTAGATTGTGGATATTTCTACGAGCATGAAATACTGAAAATCTGTTTTATCCACTAATAATATTATAACATATTAATATTATAATATTACTAATAATATTATACATATTACTAGCATATTAATATTAGGTAATATTAATATGCTAGTAATATGTACTAGTAATATTAATATACCGATATACTAGTAATAGTATACAAGGTAAACTACATTTACAAAACATAAATATATTTAAATTACAAATTATGAATGCACATGAAAATGTATTTAATTAAATCTTTAATTCAGAAACAACGATAAACATCATCACTGTTCAAAATAAATTATAAATTATTAATTTCAACGATTAAATTCAGCTATATAAACCCACGTGACGCAGACGCGTAATGATCCGCAGTCAACAATCAAGTTACTAAAAATCAAACTCAATTTTCCGTTACTACAATGCCGACGTCAGAATACAAATACCTACATTTTTAGGTGAATCATTTTTTTTTTTTTTTTTTTTTTGTGGAAAATCGCCGAACGCGAGGTCTCGCGGGACCTCGTGGCTGTTTTAGAAAGCACGGTCACGTGCGATAAATACGTCGCGAAAAATTCCAAGTAAAAAAAGAAAACGCCGTTTACACGACGGTTCTCGTAGGAGGAGCCGAGGTCGAGGGCGCCGAGGATACATCATCCGGCTCTGGCGTAACGCGGCACTCCAGAGTGCAACTCCATATTTTAAGACGCGACGCAGGAACTGCATAAAAACACGGCGCGAGTACACGCGCGAGGAGGCGAGATGCTACAGCGTGTTTCGACTCTTGTTGGTAGGTGCGCGCGCGATATCGGAACGTGCGAGGGAGAAGAGGATGATGGTAGGTTAGGGAGGAGGGGGAGGGGGGGGGGAGGTGATCCGGTGACGACGAACGTTGGAAATAACGTGGGACGTATCTCGTGTGACGCGACGCGGTGACACAACGCAATTGCAACGCCGGCTGTCACCGCCGCGTTTATTAAGTCACACTTTTCGCCACGGTTCAACGAAGCGGCCGGTTGGATTTCTTTGAACTCGAAACGCGAGCGCGTGTCAACGTCCACACCGGGGCGGCCACGTTCGCAAGCGTGGATTCGACGAGATTTAACGAAGTGCGTACAACAACGCGGTTTTACAACTTGTGTTTCATGCCCGTGCGACGACACAAGTAACGAACAACAGTTACAATAGCTTCCCCGTTGACACGTTCTTTCTGTCTCTCTCTCTGCTGGAGCACTACGGACGCGTCCGGTCCATGTGACAACGAGTGACAACAATGTCGAAGGTGCACACGTGGGCTCGAGTTGAATGGAAACAACGTTTTTGCGACAGACAACTGGGCTCCATTCGGTTCTTGGAATTGACTTTACAAAGCGAAATATCGGAGCAAGGACTCGTTGTCCGGTCAGAGATTCGTGAACTGAGAGAAGGTATTTGTACTTTGGGATATTTCACTAAGCGGCTAGTCGAATGTTTCAAAAACCGTGCATTCAGGTTACACGCTTGTGACACACATGTGAGATTCGATCGTAGCTTTGCACTCTATCAACCGGCATACTCGGACACTCGTGACTCGGTGCCCTCGTTCGTGACTCAATTCAAGCGAATCGAAAGTCGAAATCGCAAATAGCCCGTTACTCGAATTACGTTCGAGAGATGTCACACCGAAATAGCCCTTCTCACGAATGACAGACAACGACGACGACGAACCGGCGTGGTTTAACGAACCAAGGGTTTCATTAGAGCCGGTATCGCGTTTCGCATCGAAAATAGTTGCACGGTTTAACGACAGCGCGTAGAATTTAGACGCTGACTCACCGGTAGTCCGCTTATCCGATGATCCTGCTGCTTGTCACGTTGCACAGCCCATCCAAGTATTCCAGTCGCCGGGATGCCACGAAACTTTCGACAAAACACAAGACGAAACGTTCACGCAACAACGACGCGAAGCAACGTCGAGTGACACTGAACAAGAGACCACACCAGAACAGAAACACGGACTGACGACGACCACGCGGTCGGTAGCGTGCGTTTTTTAACAATCGAACGTGAAATTGCGACAACCCTCGAACACGACCTGCACGGCACGAGATCCGACAGCCGACTGACTTCACGCGGATGCTGCGGCCAAGCGTGTTGCCACGCGTCCCCTGCCACACGTCGCGCACATCCCCACCACTCCTCCGTTCACCGTCTCACTCGCGCTCGAACGTTCCCCAGCGCTCTCTCCTCTTTCAGGTTTCCCGTTTCTGCACGTGCGAGCAAGCAGTTGACTCTTCGAATCGAGCTCGTTTCGAATTTTATCGAACGCGAGAATTCGATCTCGGCCGGATTTCGAGCAATTACGCCGACTTCGACGATCGTTGGCAAGCATCTTACGTTTCGAGGAACAACGTTAGACGGACGATTATGTATTTGAAAATGAAATATCTCGGAGTGAAGAGATATCGCGTCGAACGTCGTTTCCCCGATCCGGGACATTGGCGCTTCTTTAATCCGAGGCAAAATATTCGTTCCACGTGAAGTATGCAGACGTAGGAGAAACGACGTAACGGAAAATCCACTTTGTTTAAAACTTACCCCCGCTTTCGTGCATACATACACGTGCCCGTCTGTAGATTCAACTGTCTATGCTTCGAGATCATTTCCGCCTCGAAAAATCAAATCGACGCGATGTTTCGCTTCGCGCGTGTTCTTCTTTTTTTTTTTTTGCTCCCGTATTTGCGCGTGTTTGGCCGTGCTTTTCACCTGGTACCGTCGCTTCATTTTATCTCTGCTCTGAAGTTTTACAGTATCACACACCGTACGTTCGTTGTACCTCTCTGTCTTTTGCGCATTCTTGCTGCCTCTCTGTCCCTCTTCCTCCACCAGTGACCGCTTCATTTTTCTCACTCCGACGGTTTTTTTTTTTCTCCCGCGGACGCCCACCGTGTCGTCTTTCCTCGCCATTCGGCTCATTTCGCCCGCGTTTTCCCGCGACGCCTCATTTTCCTCGTAATCGTTTCACTTTTTTCCCTCGCCACGTTTCTTCCCCTCGCCAGTAATAGCCTCTCCTACGTGGTTTGCTTCTCCATGCGGCATCGTAAACGTCTCTGTTACTGATTCGTTTCATTTCGCCAACTCGCGCGCCAATCTTCCTCTTCCTTCTTCCTCGTCTCCTCGTCGCGCTACACCAACGACGTTCACGTTCCATTCTTGCCCGTCTTGCTACGTG